ATCTGCACAGGCTTGGCTTCTGCATCGCTGGTCTGAGCTGCAGCACCCTCTTCCCTCACACGCTGCGCTTCTGACATAGCACGGGTACTCACTCCTCTTACGTCCTGCGGCACTAGCGGCATTTTTCTCCAATCCCACTTCTGACACCAAATGTTACGTGCCTGACGTCACGTTCCTGACTATGCGGGCTTGGGTTACGGGATTGGATGAAATGAAACACTAATACCGGTTTTCAGACTTTCTATTGCGCTTAAGTTACAGCGTCCACGGAGTTAAGTTATCGGCGTTCCTCTCCAGCAGAGTCCGGCCGACTGACACAACTTTGCCGTTCACGCTAACTTCACTTAACTGACTGCACTTCACTATTTCACTGCACTTCACTATTTCACTCACTTTTCTTCTTTTTCACTTCTTCCTTTTCTTCCGAATCGCTTTAGACTTAGAACTCAACTGCCAGCGGTGAGCCGCAGTTCCGCTTATATACCCCCGGTCAGGTTCTAGAACATTCAATTTCGTTATTCTTTTTTGATCGTCATGCCTCCAGAACCTTCCAATAATTTCGTTATTCATTTTTATTTATTCTCCTTCTCGCTCCTTAATTTTTCATTACTTTCACTCAAATATTCCAGAAAGTTCGACAAAACTTCCATCAACTAAAAAACTTCATGTTTACGGCGGGACTCGAACTCGGGGTCTCTGTGGTGTAATCCACACGCCTTACCGATTACACCAACTCGTGTTGACAATTCACGACGAAATTTACAATCTCTAGGCAACGTTTGACAACCATCCATTGACGTCATGATGTCAAAGAGTTTTCTGTCACAATATATGTTGCTTTTTAATCTAAGCAAAGCAGGCTAAGTTGCAAACTCATTGAATACAGTTGTATTTTACTCTCATATCAGCGCTGATTTTTTATAGGTATCAATATTTTATAGGTAACTTAAGATTTTTTTCTTTAAGTAATGATAGCTTAGTTCTCGCCCTTTTAAAAGTGCTGGTAATATTTACGAGCAGTTACGGAATTATAATTGCTGATACTTAGGCCACAAGCGCGAAAATTTCAGGATAAATAAAAGAATATAAAGTAACCATAGTATAAAAAACTGAACTATGAACATAGAGGTATGACTTTAAGGAATTTAAAAGCGATCGTAATGGCAACACATAGTTAAGGATAACATCTATGTTGGCAACACAGAAAAAACTTGTACATGTACGGAATAAGAAATAAAATTGCCCATAGAAATAGATAATGGGGTTCCACACTCCCACTGTAGTATTCATGGAAATAATAAATATTGTAATTATTGTAAAAAATTGTACCACGGCAACGTTTTGTTTAGTCTGTATCAATTAAATATTATAATATGATGTATGTAATTAATTAATGAGAAAGACTGTAAAGTGTGTTTTGCGTGCGAAGGTTGTTTGGAATTGGAAGTTGGGATAGAAGACAAGTATGTTTTTGAACTTACAGAACATCAGTCTTTTCGTGGTCCTGATTTAGACATAGTAATTCATAAAATATCGAAGCGTATTTTTATTTTCGCTTTCAAATTGGGTATCTAGCTAGGTAAAACACATACATGTGTCATCTCCATAGAAGGAAATTAATAGCATCAATTTCGACATATCATTAATTATTTTGTAAAAAATTCTTTTGCCATAATCCCGTGTTAATAAACTATGCTCAGACCTCAAACAAAGAGAAAGTTTCAGGAAAACGAAATGTTATGAAAGCGAATACGGAAGTCACGTAACGATACCCAATTGTAATTAACTTCCGAATTAACCCCGTTTATGAAGTAATCTTTCTTTTAAAACTAACTTTTTACCCTCAAAATTTCCCAAGAAAAAAAATACAAACACACAAGTCGAAAACAATTATTCGGCCCGTGGTACCAGGGCCACATAAATCGAAGGTAAGTATTACGTATTACGCAATTATTAAACTTCGGAACCCCTCGAGTTCGATGTCGAAATCTCCAATTCAGTATTTCGCCCGAAGAGCTTCGCTGATGTAACTCTTAGAATTTCAAATTTCGCCCACTTCCGTGACGAAATATTTCGGTGTAGCGGCGAAATTTCGAGTGTGTACAAGTTATGGTGTAAAACTGCATTACAATTGGGGCCGGGTTGTTCGTTGTACTTGTGGGTTTGTTCGCAAATGTTTTCATATAACTTCAGGTGAATGTCGCGTGGAATTGGGGAGTATTGTTGATTCTACGTCAAGTAGTGATTGACAACTGGTACTTTTGATTTAACTGAGGGCTACTGCCAAGTCATTTACAATGTTCTTTTCGTTTAGAATTAGGGGATATAATGGGCTTAATTGCAGTTGATTTAGGGTCCTCGAACACTTTTATATAACTGAGACTTTGTAGCTTAGTGTCTTAAAAAGGGGTATTTCGGGATGTGGCAGGAAAGTAGATAAATATTTTTTTCAATGCCTTGAAGTCATGTAATTATACATATGTCGTATTAATATTATAAATGTGTAATGTTGCGAGGATGTATGTATAATATGTTTGTTGATATTTACGCAAAAATACAGAATAGATTTGAATGTGGTGCATAAGTAGATTACAGACTGGAATGACACATACTTTTTGAGTCGGGAACGGGCAAGTTGCAGTTCCTAGTTAACCATAAATATCCAAACAGAGATTCAAAATCAATATCTCTGTAAGAAGGTACTTACTGCATTAGAAAACAAAGTAATACTCTTAAAACTATCCCGAGCAATGACTAAAAACGTCTCAAGAACAAAATCCTCGTAATCAAATTCAAAACTTAAAACATAACCTAAAAAAATGGCAGCGTACGTCTCTATCCTACGGAACGCGATTGCATGCAACAAATGCATTCGGTATCGGCGAAGCGCAATTTTCGTGTTAGGCTGTACGATTTGTCGTGCGACAGTCATCTATGATTTATAATACGGCCTACAAGCCCTGGTGGCACGCAACACTTGTGATCAATTGTCGCTTTACTGGCTTTTAGGGGATATTTGAGGATACCTTGTAATGAAATACGCTTTGTAGAGAAGACATAGATCAAATTCATAAAGCAATGGAAGTCTGGTCTTTTCCTAAAGAAACTGCTAATTTATCAGAGAAAGGGTGGAAGATTTCATATAACCTTAAACCTTTTCAAGTGCGATCTTTATTTAGCCAGCAACACCACAGATGGGGCTTAAAGGGCTGATGTTCAGCCGGGGTTGCAGATTAACCGCAATAATGCACCGCGGTCTCGACCCAGAGCAGGATAAGGAACGGGATGTTTCTTAATCAATAAGAGTTTGACTAGCTCTGACTTTATCCAGGGTGATCATATTTGTAAGAAATACTTGCACTTAGAATATCGGCCACGGCGATAAAAAATACTTAGAGTTTCAAATGGAACAGTTATTTTTCGGTTATTGTTTTTATAATTTTGGAGTTGTTGGATGGTTTTTTTCTAGGGTCTTTTTGTCCGGAGAGACACTCTCAACACTATAGTCACAGAGCATTGCTGTCTATCCTTGGGCATTACAGAATTGGAAGTACAGAGATTGGGGATGAAGGGACTGGAGGCAATAGCACATAATGACAAATGTTATATATCTATTGAGCATATTAAAATTTGATTTTTTTAAGCAGTTGAATGTAATTTGACGCATAACTATATTAAAATGTAAATTATTATGCGTTTGTGAGATATCGTTATCTGATTAGGACCAATGCTCAGACTGCGCGGATAGATAATATGTAAGTATAATGAGTTACGCACTTTAAATATATGACTTTCTAGTTGCCTGCCTAGTGATAAATAAATAAATTAGACCAGATAATTCAGTTGACCGTGTTTTTATATTGATCACCTGATGGTAAGCAGTCGGTGCACCAAACACCAGAGGAGTTGCAATAATGTTGCCAGCCTTTAGCAGGGTACGGATTTGAGCATTTAGGGATCTGGGGATTGGGTTAGGTGGGGAAAGATTGGGCGTATCCTCCATCACACGAAAAAAAATGGTTAACTGTAAAACAGTTTTCTGTGGGGCCATGGTATTACTCCAGTCGAGGCGTCTCATTTGTTCCATAGCAGGGCTCTCTCACAAGGCTCACACTCAGTCATGAGTAAATTGAGAATAGCAGACTGATACGCGATAAGTGAACGGCTTACCGTATTCGAAACTACCTCCATTCATAACCCAGGTAGTATAATGGTCATGAGGACATTCAGTGGGGGTCATCCCTCAACTTCGTTGGCAAATTAGTCATATCATTTCCATACCAATATTTATAATGACATTAGCGAAACGGCTTTGCATAGACAATGATAAACAAAACAACATGTATCCAATTTGATACTGACGTTCTGAAGTTATCGCGTACATACATGCATACATTTCGGTGATTCATATTTATTATTTTTAGAAGATACGCCGATTAATATGCGGAAGGTGTAATTATATTTCGCAATAAAGGATGTATGACGTATGTTGTGATCGCCATAGTTTATCAAAGTACCTTTCTACTAACGTCTTTTACTGATCCAATACTCCTATTGCATTGGGTGCATTTACAAGCGTACGATTTCATAAACATATTACTCCCAGACCTGCGACACCTTACGCAGCTGCCTACCTACCATGCCAACCAAGCTGTTAAATTTTTTTATTTTTTTACGAGACTAAATATATTCTTCAAGTGAATAATTTGCCTAACTATAGTCAATTCATCAAACTCAAAGCGAACGCCGGCGTTCGCTCACCTATTATGTTTCTTATTACAACGATTGAGAGATATAATATATAATATATAAAAATAAGTTTTATGGCATATCCTCCTTCAATTCATTTTTCTAAGAGGTTAAACATGTTGTCATGTATTGTATTGCAAATATCAAAGTCGTATTACAGCGCTGTTGTATTGGATTTGAATCCCTGTAATGATGGTGTTATGTAATTCAATCGATGAACAAAGGAAATAAAATAAAAAAACCAAACTTACTTTGTTCATGTTGCTGCCATGCTAAAGCTCCGCAGAGTAGCGCAAGCGTCTTTCCCGAACCTGTCGGACTTTCCAGTATGCAGTTTTCTTTCCTTTTGATAGCAGTTATTATCTAAAATAAAAAAGAATGTAATAATGAAATAACATAAATAAAAGCAATTTATAGCAAACAAAAAAAAATGTTTTAGAAATTTTGATTAGTCTCTCTTCTGCACTCTTCTTGTGTGTTTTTTGTACCACGACGAACTATGTAGTTGGCAGACTGAAATGCCTTCTGGAATTAGGCACTTTCTTCCATTCTATGTTACAATATACATATAACACAGAGACAGCTTATATAATTATGTTATCAGGACAAAAGGAGGACTAGGAGAAAATCTTAGTGTGGTGCATTGTTTTTATGAAACAATAAAAAAAATGGCATAACATGTAACTCAAGACTCCATTGGACACCTCTACAATTCAGTATTAAACCATATCAAGTGTCCAGCCTATCAATACACATCTTTACATATTTAATATAATTACCGAGTTAAAGAACAAAAAGAAATGTGTGTAATTCTTTAATTCTATTACAATTGTACTACATACCTAATAGATGTGATAAACTTATTGGGGAGCCATATGGCATTTTGTGACTACTTCTTAACAACTTTACTATCATCACAGTCACCTCAAAGCCGCTCAATCTGTCTCAATTTGTTCATTGAACTATTAACTTTCATACAATGTGGTAAACTTGTGTATAAAAAAAGTTAAAATAAAATAAAACAAAAGCTTGATAAATAAAGTATTATCTAAAGTTTTGTACTGTCTTACCTTGGACATTAATGCGACTTGACTGCCATAAGGATTGACGGGCAACATAACATTGACTCCTTCAATCATTCTATTGAATACATCCTTAGGAGGTTCTATAGGTGGTCTAGACTTCACAGGCTTTGCTACAGGTGCACTGACATTCTGTTTTTGAGAAAACAATGCCTTAACGGCAGCTTTTCTCTGTTTACTACTATTATTTCCCTTTCCTCGACGATTTTTAGAGGAAAACAAGGATTTAACAGCTGCCCTTTTCTTGGCAATTACTTCGGAACTATTTTCATCATCAGAAATTAAGTCGTTGTCATAGGACAATGTATTAAATTCTTCATCACTACTTATAGCTATTACACCATCGACAGGGTTCTTATCAACAGTTTTTGAGCAACCAGGCCCATTGAAACTGTCGTCATCGTCGGATATTTCGATTTGAGAGTCCATTGTTTCTAATTACTTGTAAACAAATCACTGTGAATCACTTTCAAATCACTTCCCGCGCTTACGTATTTTTCATGAATTGCGAGCGTTTATTATATTGTGTCTTACACGGTTCACACATTAAATGATTGCTTATTATCTACGAAAAAACACAAACGAAATCACATATAAATTACTCATAAACATAGAAACTTATACGAAATTTCACAAATAAACAGCTGAGGCCGGTTGTCAAACGTATTACGAATTTGACAAATGCCGTTGTCAACACACTGCGTTTCGTTATTGCTTAACGTAAGTTCAATAGTTAAAATATTCCAATTAAAAATTTAAGATATGGGGACTCATTAATTTAAAAAATATTATCCGATAATCCTATCATAACAATTTTATGCAACAAAGGTGCAAGCTGATGTGTATATCTTTGACGACATTTAAAGTAGGAGGTGAGCATAGGAGTGTTAATAATAAATTCATATTTTCAATATAACAACCATCGACAGAAAAACCGTAAACAAAAACCGCCGTTAACCTTTTGTATATCTACATAATATAAGCAAACTCAGTTTTACTTGAAAGAAAAAATAAAAATAAACTTTTTCGAAACAGGAACTTTATTTTTTACAAACATGTGAGGATTAGACGACACTTTAAACGTTTACTCAATTTAAATTTTTATAGACAGGTTTGAAGATCTGGAACAAAATAAAAAGTATGTATTAAACTTTATATACCTTGACCTTGTAGCGTTTTATTACGTTGTATATGTTTGGCTATGCTTAGTCAAATATTACGGTGTTTTTGTTTGTAGTTACTTTTTAGTTCATTCAAAGTAAGTTTGTTAATAAGCTATTTTAAGCTTTTGACAGCTAGGCCATATGCTGTCGTACGACGTGACGCAATTCTGATTCCCTCACAGAAAAACTCTTTGCGTGATTTACAACTTGTCTTTCCGGGTCTGGGTGTAATGTTACCTACGACACAGAAGCAAATACTAGTGTGGGACAAAGTTAATAAAGACTAGACCGCCGTTAATAGTATTGTCGTAGTGCGCCTCTATAACCAATTTCGGGAACACTTTTCAAGATGGGATGTCATCGTCTGACTCATATTTAGATAATAAACAGGTCAGGAATATTGTTGTGTGAATATCCATCCTTCTTTTGTATTTTTATAGAAATGAAAATAATCAACAACGTGCACCCCTTTGTTCCATATGGCCCGCTTAGTTTTAATGCTTTTTAGAAGAAAGCTTGGTGCATGGGTGTCTCCCAAATGTTCAGTCTCTTTGTGCCCTTAAGGGTTAAACTATTCTGTCTCTGAGAGAATAAAACTATTTCCTTTACTTCTCCTTTAAGAAGAAGAATCTTCTCATCTTTACTGAGGCATCCAAGACAGTTATTCATGTCCTTGGCAATTCTCAGTAAAAAGAGAAGAAGAATTCCTGGTCCTGGGTTAAGTGTTGCAGTGGTTAAGGAATGTTGTAGTGGGCTTGTCACATTAAGTCACTGACTATCCCCAGGTAACCGAAGAAGATAGTGTAAGTAGAACAAATCTTTATTTATTTCTCTGGTGGTGGGCTTAGGTACTACTAAGTTTTATGTTTGCGAAATTACAGAGAGGGGAGTTAAGACCACGATAATACTCGAAGAAGAAGCAAATAACCCAATTAGGAAATTTCGTCAAATCAATATTTTATAATTATCATCTTCATATCAGCTGCAAGACATCTACTGCTGAACATACATATAAATACACCTATACATAACATATAAAGGTGACTTAGAACCAGCAAAGCCCTCGATCGACTGTGACTGCGTATAATTCAAGCTATCTAAGTAAACAATTCTAGTTAAGCTACGGAGTTTACGAAATACTTTTATGTAGGTAAATAAGAACGAAGAAGACTTAGTTTTACCTTCTCCATTGTACAATTTTGACACCACGTCATTTCACCAATTTCTTTGGGGTGATGTTAGGACAAAATATGAAAATACAGATAAAACTATTGTCCACCCCATCCAACACATGTTTATAAGATTTTTTAACACTATTCCATTGAATTATTCCTGTTCCTTAAAAACAAAGAGAATTTAAGCACTACGTTTAAAACGTCACCGAATGAGATTGACAGTTAGGTAAGAATTTTATTCGTAAATTCATTTTGTCAATGGCTTATAAATGAATAAAATAGGTTCATAATCATATTTTTGTTTTATGTTTTTGATTCGTATTTCCAACAAAAAAACTACAACAAATATTTTTTTGGTTTAATTAATAAAATTGTCCTCAGCATTCTCGATTCCAAGTACTTATATAGATAGCTGTCGTGACAATAATAAAAATGCATAAATGTATTTTATTGTTCACCCACCATTAACGCTCTCGGTATTAGTCAAAACGTCTGGCTGTATAGAGTGTTGCCGTTGCCCGCCAAAATTTTGGCGCCATTACACAAGTGAATTGTCACAGAGGTTATGGCGCGTTATAATTTGGTTTATAACCCGACACTACGCTGTTTAGTCAATGCAATTAGTAAATATGTTGTTATTTTTCGCTCCATTTTGTGAGTGTTTTGGTGAAAACATGGTAGGTACAAATATTTATTTTGTTTTACCAAGAAAGTTTTGAACGTATTCCAGAAACTAAACGTTGGATATTTAAACAAAACTAAAATATTGCATAAAAGTGAACAACAAAGTACTAAAATAGAGGTAACAGTGAGTAAAAACCGCGGGTAAGACCTCTACATGAACAATTGTATATGGATATTAATGCAACAAGAATTAATTTTATTTATTCCACGCTTATAGTTAGGTGCAAAATTATATTAGACGCAGGTTACATACACGAATAAGTTTTACGTATTACTTTCTTCCTATGGTCAAATTAATAGAATTGTTTAGCATAATTAACTGTAATTAGTTTTTTAATTAGTAGTCACGGTAATATATTATACGCGGATCATAGAAGACATCAGGAAAGGCCCAAACACTTGTTATTTTTTAATTAAAATTGGTCTCGCAGTTATTTCTACACACTTGTTTTTTTAAAAAAAAACTCACACTGGGATTATCTGCTGTGTCGTTGGTGCTTTTACAAACATAGGTATCTACAAATTCACATACATATCTCACCGAGACCCTAGAAGAGTCTGTAAAACACACAAAGAGTTGTTCCGTGCGCGAATCGAACTCGCGACACGTTGCGCGGTGGCCAATTGTCTAGCCACTGCGCCAACCGTGCAGTCAAAATTTTAAGTAGACTGTACACAATCTGTCTGACTGTACAGATATCTCCAATGTCATGATCGTAAGTGCGTTTATAAATCTGCACCCTTTTATATGTATATCTGGGTAACGTTAAAATTATCCTATCTAAATAATTTCGGACCCGCGACAATTTACGCCGCAACTGGCAGCTAGTGCACCAACCTTGCAGTTAAACAGTAATTCTATCTTTGAAGGTAGATTGTGTACAGTGCACTTAAAATATTTCTAAATAAGAATTAGTATATTTAAATCCGATATTTTAGTCAATTTTATTTTTGTTACTAGGTAACGTCAACGTCAATTGTTTTCTGTGCAAGATGGAAACAAGAAAATCAGCAACGCAATAAAATTCGTAATAAATGCATAAACAATGTTTTACTAAACTGATGTGCAAGGGATGCCACCCTATTTTTCGGGCCATTCAACAGTTTACGTCCGTTTTAATACGACTCCTACAAATTGGTGTTCGTCATAAATTACAGTGCGAAGACAGAGACAACTCCCCTTGCTTTGGGCCGCGTTCGTATTGGGGCACTTGTCCTTTTACGTCGTGGCAAACCAAAAAGGAATTATTACCATTTGGTATTTTTTATAACACTTAGGTAACTATTTCTTATTTGGTACTTACAATGAAACAATAATTGAGATGTTGACATGGCCAATGAAAAAAATTGTAAAGTATAGGAATGTTTTAGTTGTGTCTAGACTCCTAAATGGCTTATTTTTTACTTAAGTCAACTTATACGGTGTACAAATGTCGATTGTTACACAAACAAAAGTGTCTGAAGACATCAAATATTAACAAGTTTAAGTTTAGCGACCAAACGTTGTCGCGTCCCTCCCAATTATTGACATGCTTTATTGCGCTTCCTATCCGAGGCGCGCTTTTATCAGCGTATGTCGCTCTGCCCTATACAACTACCAAACTTACCCTACAACTACACACGCGAAAATAAACTTTACCACCTTGTTATAAAGAAGAATCTATCTACATGAACTACCCAATTTTATTTCTACTTAATTTGATGGTGAAACTTTCTATATCGAAGTCATTTATACTTCCGAAGATTATCAGTTGGGGTTCGCGCGGATTCGACGGCCAATGGGCCTCTAAGATTGATATCTTAAAGTAAACATGCAACTGTGTCTATTTGTTTACGTTTTACGAGATTTTGCGGACAATAATTTTGGTCTTAGTTTATAGGGTCGTTAAGCTTATTGTGTGGGGCATTATAAAAGTCTAATAAAACTGATAACAACAGTATAAACTTTGGTTTCTTTGACACTTCTGATGGATTAGTTAGTTACCAGAAAATTATCACCAATGACAGAAGTAATAGACTGTCTCGTTTGTTTGTCACAATGTCGGTAGTAACCCGAGCAGAAATATTACACAGGTATTTGAATTTATCTACCTACATATTGAGATGTCTCGCGGTTTCGATTTCTGCGCGGAACAACAATTTTGTGCGATCCACTAATTATTGTGGCGGGACTGGGTGGTTTAAGTATGCGAGTTTGTATGTTTGTAAACGCACCCACGACACAGGAAAAAATCCTAAAGTGGAGTAATAAAAATTGTTTTTAGGAAACAGGTAACTAAGTATAACATTATGTTAGCCCTATTCTTCCCCCACTCAATCCCTAAACCCCAAATGGTCGGCAACGCAATCGTTACTCCTGCTACAGGTGTTCAAGAGCGGCGTTGATTGCTTACCATCAGGTAATCCGTCTGCTCGTTTGCCGACCTATCACATAAAAAGGTGTAACTAAGTATAACATATTGTGTTAGACATTTGAATTGATATGACATTTTAAAATCCAGTACAATTTAGAAAAATTAGTCAAAAAACACTAATGTAAGCTTAATTTGATGGTATTAAATCACCTCGCCGATGGTATACATATGTTGGTAAACGCTAATTCTAAATCGCATTTCGTTACAAAGAACATCGGTTCACGACACCGAC